TTTACTAGCTCAAATGCTTAAATCTTCACCTGATATTGCACCTGTTTCATATTCTCTTCAGGTGAGTTATAATAAGTAATGCATGTTTTGTTTCATTAGAAAAAGTTGTTACAATAGCAAAGGATATATGTAGCTCAGGGTTGAATTGTTGAGTTCTTGGTGTTCCTTGAGCCTGTCTTTTTACAAATGCTTCATTACCAGGGTAGGTAACATCATCACTGCACAGTGGAGGAACATAGGAAAAAGATGTCAAAACCTTATCTAGTCCTCCAAGGATTGTGGTTCCATCTCCAGCTACTGTAAGAGATCCAAGCGTGATGATGTGGCTATTCCAGGAATGGCCTGTGAGACAACATAAAGAGCTTCGACTGGGCAGATAGGGATTTTGTGTGCCATGACAATGGGCATTTCTTGGAAGGTAATAATAAAAGTTTAATAGATGTAGCAGACCTCCTTTGCATGCAGTCTATGACTGCAATTCAATACCTGACATCTCCAGCAAGGACTAGGGGAGATGCCTTTCTGATAATCCTAGATGATACAGCCTGTAGTGTGGACTGTTTTCAGTCCCTTCCTTGTTCTTGTTGCCCCTATCTGAACCTATTCCACTTTCCCTGAATCCTTCTTAAAATGTAGTGCCCAGAGATGGACACAGAATTTGTGGTAGGGTCTGTCCAAAACTATCTCAACACATCTGAAAAATACAGGTTGGAAAAGGGTGGCATAAGTCCTATGTCCTCTTGGCTGCATCTGTCAACATATAAATTATATGTTGTGCTGGATGGCTGTTCCTTTCTCCTCTCCATCATTACACATATCTATCTAGAATTTCTTCTCCTCTTTTGAGAAACGGGTGATCTAATACCTGGTTTGCGTGAAATGGCTGATGCAGTGAAAAGATTCAATGAAAGGCGTCTTGTCCTGTATAATATAATGCCTCCTTCTTTTCTTGAACCTTTACCAAACCTGGGTGTCACAGAGAACGTCAGATTCAGGGATATTTTAAGGTATTGACCCAAGTCCTGTTTCAGTCCAGTGTACTGGATAGAGCAATGTCTCTATGGAATACCTGTAACTTGGACAAAATGCATGTCCGTGTATTGTTAAACAAAACCTACCCAATTTATATTCTGGGCATCCTTCTATCGACATGTCCTGTTACGTGATAACACTGTTTTTTCTTTTGTGAATGTTTTGTGTGTGTTTGTATTTCAGGGAATCATTCGTATATTATCATGTCAATTAAAGTGAGTTGTATTCAAGCAATAGAATGCAATTTTACTTTGCAACTTAGAAAAATATATATCATGGGTATCTATGCAAATTTAATGGAAAATGTAAACAAGTATTTGGCTATAGACCTGCAGGACATGTGCTCTGAGGGTTTGTTGGAGACGATGAAATTAGAAATATCACATGTATTGAGGGTTAGAGGTCAGGTCCCTTGGTTTCTAAGGAAAGATTTTAGGTGGTCTTACCTTACTTTGTCCGCACTGCAAGTTCCAACCAAGGAAAAATTGGATCTTTGCAGCTTAAAAGAGCTGCAGGTAATAAGACTCCAAAAGGAAGCTAAGTATACAGTTTTCTCTCCCTGTCCTAGCAGGGTGGTGGTGACACGGTGTAGGCACAAGAACAGCAGCAGATTAAGCCATTCTAGTTTACCATCAGTACTCATCCATCAAATTCAGGGAGTGATTTTGGACTATTATGCCCACTGAAATGTGTCCCATAGGAGCACCCATGAATTCTGCCCCAAGCTCCTTGCAGGAGGACAAGATGCAAAAGTAATGGTCAACTGAAGGAGCTTCGATAGGTGCACCAGCAAAGCCCAAGATGGGTATCTTGGTAGGTTGGATTGGAAGCCTCAAAACAGTCAATAAAATGTATCATTCTTGACTCTAACAACCGCAATATTTTATTTGTAAGAATTTTTACATATTTATGCAATACATATTGTGCACACACATGAACCAAGCACTTTATTGAAGTCTGTGAGTTTTCTGATTTTTGTCTTCTCAAGGTGGCAGATTTTTATGGCAATGTGTGTTGGAAAGTTTATTTTCCCCATGCATTGCAATCCTGCTTCTACATCCCAAAACTACTATTTATGCTGAGAAAATTAGATAAGTTAATTGCATTGATGAGTTACTCTCTCATCTGGTTTGATCCAATACAACAGAAAAATTGTGAGCAGTTAGGTATGTAGATTGGCATATATGAGAGAGACCTCTTGCGTAAATATTTTTTTCAAGTGAGTATCTGGGCTGAAAAAACCAGATGGCCTTTAGATGAAAGAAAAGAGTTGTTTTTCCTGTGTCTTTTTACCATCATCTTATGGCTATGTGGATTTTTGCAGGCCAAATATGAGAGCAGCATTCAAATATGCTGATGGAGTTACTGATGTAACTGCAAGGTGACAATATATACCAATGTTTTATGCTGTGTGCTATATTATATTTAAAGTCAATATTTTAGTAATATTTTATTTTTATAACATAGTATTGATTTATGGCAAATATAATGTGTATTTATATAGCCTCTTTGGTTAGTTCGAGCTATAGATTTTATGCTCCCAGGTATAAAATCATTCCCGTAGTCAGTCTTGAAGTTAACTGCATATTGTGCACTGATACTATGAATTTAGAATACTTTGATTGCAAATCAGTAGTGAATAAAAAGCAAAATGAAGAAAATGGTTGTGGGTTTTATTCTGAGCCAAGCAGTGCATGTTTTAGCCTCACTTATTCAAGCACTGTCTCAAGACCTAAAGGACCAGGCTGGAGACAGATCCTCCTGGAAAACATCTATCGATGTGGTTGCTAAGAGTCAACATCAACCTGATGGCATATTATCAATCATTCACTTCCAGCAAGGGTGCCAATCCATGACCTGCATACCGGCTCCCCAAGTACCCCATTCATTCCTCCCCATTGGCTAATATTACATTGCCAGAGTTTAACAACAAAATGACTGATTTTTTATGAGTTGGGTCCCCTCTCCCCAAAAGTAAGAGTGGGAATGAAAGCAAAAAGACTCTGCAAGACCAACACTTCCCTTTTCACCCTTAAAGGCTTCTGTCAATCCCTCAAATGCGGTCATTTTGTCACCAAATTTCATTTTTGATTTGGGGCCACTGGGGAGGGGGCTAGGCGACACAAGTTATTTTGTGCATAAGTTATTCCAGGAGATGTCCTGCTCACAATTCTGGAGTAGAATGCCAAAGAAAATGCCCCCCCCAAAAAACTCACCTCTTCCTGTGATGTCAGCTGTGGCCCTGTAGCTGGTCTGGGGAGAGAATGGTGGCCCCAACCCTTGGGATAGTTGCCTAACTTTATCAGTCTTGGAAGCCAATATTAACATATGCCTTAAGGGACCAAAGAGAGTCCTCTTGTATTTGGAGAGAAACAATAACATCCCCAGATGAAATCTGTAGAGTTCAGTTCAGTCCTATTAATCTTCATGGAAAAGATTCCACCTTATTTTGGTTCACTGCAACGCTGAGCTATAGTTCAGAGAACAGAATGGCTGGATTCACACCAGACCCTAACCTAAAAGCCCAGTGAATGCATTGTGAATCCAA